CAGTTTTTTTAAGTTTCTACAAGGAAAACCTAAGGTGGGGGGGGGGGGGGGGGGGGGGGGGGGGGGGGTCTCATCACGATTCACGAGTTGATTTTTTTGTCAATCACGATTCACAGAAAATAAATTTCCATGATCACGGATCACGAAAATAGCATGAAAAAAAAAAATCTGTAGAAAAACGGATCACGATAGCGAAAATGCGCCGATCACGAAGAACGAAAATAACCCATCAGGCCCCTCAGTCAAGATTATGGCTCATAGTTACGCCTTAATATTTACTGTCTTTTACTGATTCTAAAACATGATTGTACAATGTATAATCAAAAGCGAAAGGGGTTAATTTTTTTAGAAATATGTATTACGTAACACTTTTCAGGATTAAAATTCATTTGACAGTCCTCTTCCCATTGAACTAAACTAGATAAATCTTTTTGAAGTAATTGTGCATCAGAATTATTATTTACATTTCTATACAATAAGCAGTCATCTGCAAAAAGTCTTGCATTGCAAGTTACATGTTCTGGTAAGTTAATAATGTTGGGTCTAATACTGTTCCCTGAGGGACACCAGAGTCAACAGCTAATTTAGAAGATTTAACACCATTTAAGAGTACCTGCTGTTGCCTGTCAGCTAAAAAATCATTTATCCAATTTAAGTTTTGATTCCTAATACCGTAAAAATCTAATTTTTGGGTTATTCTTTGATGGGGGACTTTATCAAATGCTTTAGAAAAATCTAAAAGTATAACATCTATTTGATTACCATTTGCCAAAGATTTTGCTAGGTCTTGTATACTGATAATGAGTTGGGTCTCGCAAGACCTTTTACTCCTAAGGTAGCTACCATTTGATTTTTATGGGGGGGGGGGGGGGGGGGGGGGGGGGGCTAGGATGAAATTTGAAAAAAAAGGCAGGACAGGACTTTTGAGTTAAAAAAAAAGGCAGGATGAGCAACTTGGCCAAAAAAAAGGCAGGATGACAATTTATGTAAAAAAGTCAGGATAAACTAATAAAAAAAAAGGCAGGACAGGACTTTTGAGTTAAAAAAAAAAGGCAGGATGAGCAACTTGGCCAAAAAAAAGGCAGGATGACAATTTATGTAAAAAAAGTCAGGATAAACTAATAAAAAAAAAAGGCAGGACCGAATAGAGTGAAAAATAAAAAGGCAGGACAGAGATTACAACTAAAAAAAAGGCAGGACAAAATTTTTCATCCTAGCCCCCATAAAAATCAAATGGTAGCTCCCTAAACCCATGTTGACTGTCATTTAATATATTATTATTTGTAAGATGTTTTCTGATGTTGCTTGTTAAAATATGTTCCAAAAGTTTACAACATATTGCAGTTTATGAAACTGGTCTATAATTAATAATTGTTTAAATATTTTAATTCTCAATTTCTTGAAAAAAAATTGTTACAAAAGAGAAGTGAAAAAATTTACCATTGAAAATTAGAGTAGAAATGAATGCAACATTGTGTTTCAAAAAACATTTCTTGTTGCCATATACATATCATTAAAAAAAATTGATTGAAGTAAAAAAATGTGTCTCATGGGGAAAAAACAAAAGATAAATGGCCAATGCCTTGGGAGTTTGTTATTAGTGTCACTTCTTTATTGTGTGATGAATTTACTCACAAATTATTTAGACTCTGGGGGATTTTTTACGAATAAAGACATCATATGTAGCTCACTAGATGTCTCATAGATGCTTGTATCACACCTGTTTTCACATTGTAAGAATGGATTATTTGGTACTAAACTTTCAAATTAAAGTAGGCCATTTTTTATATACTTTTCCATGCTTTTCTGATTTTGGCTTTAGTTGGGTCAAAGTTTATAAATACATCAGGTACTTCATTTAACATTGTTGTCATCTAATACAAGGATGTGCACTTTTAATTGGTGAAAAAACTAGTATCTGTGCAAAAGAAGTCATATTTAACCTACTTTTAAAATTTCATAGGTTCTTTGGTATAAGGTTTTACCAAAGTATAAATCATTTAACCAATCCAAGTGGTTTGTGGTTTGGTATATGCACCTAATGCACTAGTATGCATTTTTTATTTAGTAATTTAGTGATAAATATAACAAACAAATTATATAATACAAGGACAAGTAAAGTCTGGGACATTTAACAATTTCCAAAGAAAATCATAAAGAAATAATAAAACAGTTGCAGTAATTTTTCCTTTTGTCCAAAGTAAACCACTTAAATTATATAATAGACCTGGGATAATAGAATAAGTATAAACTGATACTTGTCATGAAGATTACCCAATGAAATTGTTGTAACTTGTAAAGTACAGTGAGGATAATGTATGGAAATTCCAAAAAAAATAGCACAATGACACTTATCATAGAATAAGCTCAAGGTGATCATTAGAAATTAAAAGTGAACAAAAACCCTAGAAATTATTGATAATTTTTTTTTTAGCAAAACAGTAACTTTACCTTCTGCCTAAGAAAATACAATTTCAGCAAGTTCATAATTTTCTTTTGTTTTTAAGAATAGAAAAGACCTCTTACAATTTTTTTTTTAGCAAACAGTAATTTTACCTTCTGCCTAAACAAATACCACTTCAGCAAGTTCATAATTTTCTTTAATTTTTAAGAACAGACAAGACCTCTTACAAGATAATTGGTGTAAAATTGTTAGTTGAATAAAATCATAAAAAAGAGGCTTTATATTGATTTGGGACAGACACACATGCAGGTTTTGGAAGTAGTATCATGACAGGCACAAACTTAAAGAGGTTGTGACCCCTCAAATTGAGAAAATATCATTTTATGGCATAAAAGTCATCAAAAATTTAATCACTTCACGTCACTCTGTGAAATTACTACTATAAATCCAGAAATTATTGTGTGCATTTATTATTGCGATTTTTGAAGAACAACCAAAAATGCAACATTATTTATTGAGATTTCAGAAAAATCTGCATAAAGATAAATGTATCAGTTATTAGAATGCAAGTTCTTATTATTGAGATACTCAGCCAGTTGCATTATCCGCATTGATAAAAACCACGCAATAATTGCTGAATTTACAGTATATCATCCTTTAGACCTGTTTTTTTTTTTTTTTTTATTTCATACATATGTAGCTTTATCCATACTGTGGTGAAATAGCACTGTGGAATCCCATATGCTTCACATCAAACTTAAGAAAAAGCAAAAAAACTTGATGAACACTAAACCATGAGATGGAGACATAACCATCCCTTGTACATACTTTAGATATTTTATATTTTGATATAGTCTGTGGTTACGTTTTTATAAAATGATCTGCTTCACATCTACCTTCTCTCCAGAGTCTGATTAGCAGACAAGGCATGAAAATTAATTCAAAAAACTCATCAAATGAAATGTTTTTTTTTTTAAATTGTTTCTCTGCTCATATGTTCTACAAATGCATTACCTTTTTAACTATGATGTGTGTAATTGAAATATTGTCTGTATAAGTTTTCTATGTTAATATATGCATGGTCACAATTTTATCCAATGTTTTTAACTTAAATGTTGTCTAACAATATAAATATATGACATTACATGTGATTACAGCAAATTATACCATAATTTGTATTTAATATATATTTCACAATTTTCCTTTGAAAATGCTGTTATTAAGTCGGGAACATTACAGGTAATTTTTGTTAAACTGTTCTATTTCTTGTTTCAGTGGGCTGTTTTGCCTATTCTTCGATTACGAACCATAGCTTTGAGTTCATTTTTTTAAAGTAATCATCGATATTTTTTTAGGGTTGTCTTTTTTTATGATTAATTTACAACTATTGTATTGGGAAGTTTAAAAAGTAAGAACTACTATATTTAAGATAATTGGTGAACATCTAAATTGTATAAGAGTTAAAGCCACAACTAGTCAGGTACAATTAGTGAAGTAATAGTCAGATTAAAAGATTATTTAGGTCGCAGAAGGAGTTTAACTATTCTGCATACCCATCAAATCCTCTGGTGGTCATGTTTGTATTGGATCATCTTTTTTAAGGCAATAACAATAATTCCACGATTCTAATCCATTTCTTTTGTAAAGGATGTTTGCTGTTCTGTTTCAAAGTAACAAGCTTTTTAAAAGACTGTTATAAATTGATAGCCAAATTTTCAATGGCACTACATGGATAAAACCATAGAATTTCAAATTTCTGATAAAAAGACAAAAACATGATCACCAAACATCCTTAAGCTTAACGCTTTCTCAAGTATTTTTTGACTCTTTTTGATAATAGATGAACATGTGATGATTTGAAATGGAGCAATGTTTCTTTTTTTCATAGTAGTCTTTCTTCTAAGACAGTGACTGCAATGCTTAGTTGATAATCCAGGTTTGTTTGGCATAATTTACAATTTTTCTTTCAGTGCAATTGCAAATGCAGATTGTCTAATTTTCATTATTTGTCACAAAAATGCTTTAGAAACTTGTTACACTGATGTTTAAAAAAAATGTTAATATAATATGAGTACGGTGACAAATTAACTGCACATTCAGGGAAAGAACATCTTACTGTGATGGGAATATGAACACTGTGAACTAGACCAAAACCCTGTGCCAGATTTCGAACATGCTAGATCACCAGGTAACAATCATCAACAAGATATGTCAACTACCTGGACACATTGTTCTGACCAAGCGGAAAAGTCTTTGCTCTTAATCCAACATGCTGTGTGCTTAGCAGAGAAGTAGCAAATACAAATTTTCCAAGTTTTTAGTTTAACACTGCCAGGGATCAAAATCCATAACCCAACTCAAGGAATATGGATAACATTATTGTTTATAAATAAAAGTTATAATAAAATTACACCAATGACTGAATATCAATTGTTCAGGATTTATTGATTGTTTGTTGCTTAATGTCCAGTGGCAAACAATTGTTCAGAACACTGGTAACCAATCTCAATGTTTTGGTGTTCACTTGTGAAAATACTACCCACCATGCATTAGTTTTGGACATGAGGAATTCTTGAAATAACAACAAACAACAAAATCAGTTTACAAATATATTTTTTTAAATTTGGCTTTCAATGCTAGTACTTCTAGTACACTGTACAAATAAATAATGAATACAAAAATGTACAGTCGAATCAAACATAACTATACAGTACAAACTCTCTGGTAAAAATGTACTATGATGGTTACAAGCTACTGCTACAGAATTATGGTTTCTTATGTATTGAAATCAAAGTTCTTCAAAGCATTGTAGAACAAATTGAACAGAAGATAGAAATTAATTTGGATTATCTCCCTTTACCTTACATTTAAATTTTCTGATCATTTTATATAATTTTTTTTAACAAATTTTCTTGCAAAAATAATTGCTTTTTAAAAGATCTTACAACCTATCGTTGAAATTGCATTTTTGCATTTTTCAGTCATAAAATTTCGATGTAAATATTTTTGAAATGTAAAATGCAATAATTTTCGAAAATAAACATTTTTTTTTTAAAGGATCAAATAAATGTCTAACATGTTAATGAATAGAAATGAGGTAGCTGAGTTTATGCAAGAGGGCATTAAAACAAAGAACATTAACCATCTTATATAATAACCAGAAAAAATGTAAGTATATCATTAACATGTAACCAGATCTATAATACAGTTTTAGTAAAGCGTCTATTCCATAATACTGAATGCTAGTGGAAAGGCACATTTCAAAGGGTATTTATTACTTATATATCTCTATGAGCTAAAAATAACTTGGTGAACAAACAGGAAAGGGACATAATTTCAAGCATTGACTATTATTGACTATGCTGTCCAGTGAAAACAGTTGGGTTATTAATGACAAATTTTCTAGCAAATGAAAACATCATTTTGAAATTTTGTGCACAGTACATATAAACTTAACTTTTCAACATCTAAAAGTGATTTTTAAAGACAAAACCAAAAACACATAAATATACGTTATGTTTGACTATCCAAGTCGTTTATTTTAAATTAAAATGTAAACATTTGAAATTTATACATATTTCTTTAAAAAAATGAAAATGTGTGAAAAACATCTATCAATGTTATTTTTTGCAGTAAATGAAAAATGAAAATATTGCTAAAAAAAAATCATACCAACACTAAAAATTATCATGATATTAATCTATGGTTTCAATCTACGTGAATCATATTGAAATTCATATTTGAAATTAATCATATAAAAAAATTACAGGTAGAAAAGAAAATACACTTTACAAAATATGAAATATATTGCAAAACAATCTTAAATATTATACAAACATATAATCACAATATTGATGAAACTTTCCGCCAAAATAAAACATAATCGTGCAAATTGTACAGTCTTAACGAAAAAATATCACAAAAAGGCATGAAATAATGTAAATAAAACCCAAGCAGTTACACTGCTTAGTTTACCAATGGTAATAAAAAACGTAGAAAAAATTGCATACAAATCTGTTTTGCATACAAAGTAATGTTTTTAGCACTAAGTTAAAAATAAGCACCAAGTTGAACTGAACACAATGTTACACCTCCGTTTGTTTGGGTTTGTTCCGACAGAAACACATAAGAAATTTACAATCAAAGTATGACTGGTTCCTGTCCTCATGTTTACATATCAGATCTTTTGGTTTGGTTTCCGAGTCCTGCAAAATAAGACGAAAATGTTAACATCTCACAGTGCAAACTAAATATATTCGTACAAGTGTGGCTAAAATTACCATATAAATCAGGCTATTAGTTTTTTTGTTTGAATTGTTTTAAAATTGTTGAAGGCGAGAGGGTGACCTATAATTGCTTATATCCATTTCTATTGAACTCTGGTGGATAGCTGTCTCATAGGCAATCATACCACATATCCTTATCTTATATAATCAAAGCCTGTTCTTTTGAGTCACTATTCACATATCATAATGTGTTCATATGGTGATCTTTATTAGAAAATTATTAAAGAAGTATTCTTGTTTACCTTTCTTACACAAATAATCTCTAAATTCCAGCCACAATCAGTCAGGTAAAATTAATGGTATTAAGGGATCAAGTAGGTTTCAGCATCAAGTGACGAATTGTAACCAAGCTAAAGTATTTAATAAAGGTGGCCGAGTTACAGTATTTTGATATCAACTTTTAGTGTTTTTATTGAAGATAGAATAAATTTATGTTGGAATAATTCTGTGTTTGAGAAATATTCTGTATATCTTTTTTTTGCAAATCTTGAGTTGTCATTCTGTATGAAAACCAAAATTCTATCAACAGAAAAAGAGGTTTACTGATTGTGATGAATGTCCTTGGATGTGAAATAAAAAAAAAAAAAAAAAAAAAAAAAAACATGCAAAGTTTGAATTATTGTATCAAACTTGTCCTCAACAGCAATATATAGTGCATATGTACTGAATAACATTTTGATTTTAAGGTAATATGGAAAAATTCTGACAAATCTTTAAAACACTAGACTCTCATATTCAAATTCAAGTAGGTTTAAAAAAAAAAAACCTAAATTTTACTCTGTGAGTGAAACAAAAACAGTGGAAATTTGCCGTACCTAAATTCACAAAAAATATCGCCAAAAATTACATACCTGTGATTCATCCTGTCTCCGTCTGCCCAATCTTTCCACATCATCCATGTTATATGACTTGATCTCGAATGGTTCCTCTTTTATTTTCTGTATCTGTCTAGTATCAACCCAGGCTTTTGATGAGGGACTTTTCTTTCCTTCACTACTATCAGATCTAGCTGGTGCAGACCGACTTCTTCTTGAACCTAGGTAAATATAAGTTTTTAAAATCATTGTTAGGAACATGTCCATGTATTTATATCAAAAATTTATAGCACACAGGAAAGATTAATGCAAAAAAATCTAACATGATGTTCAATCAAATTTGCTAGAGTTATTCCCCCTCTATTTGGATTTCAATTATTTCTTTCTGCTTCTGGGCCTGTATAATTATTTCTACATTTTAATATGACATTGCAAAAAATGTTTATTCAAGAAAAAAGTTGTTTAGAAGAAAATCCTTATTACTTTACTTCAGTTCACTTTCTTGTAATATTAAATTGAGAATGGAATATATCTATTTGATGAAATTTTGAAGTGAAAATAAGTTAATTTGAAAAGTTACTTAACCACTTTACTTTAATTAAGTGGTTCTGTCTTAATAATTAAATGAGTCATATATATAAAAGAGGGACAAAAAAAAATGGTTTAGGTTATTTTCTAAAACCTCCACTTTATTTTTTTGTTTTCCAAATACTGTTATAAAGTACTATCTTTAGAGAGATATCCATTTTTGTGCATTTGGTGGTAATTAAACATCACCAAATTTAACAGCCTATTAAATGTATATTTGGATGAAAATCTTTAAGATTGAATTCAAAAACCCATGTTCTGATATTTTGACAGGCCACAAAAATTGGTGTGTCTTAAAAACTTCTGTTCTCAATTTCAGACAAGTTAAACTATGTGTTCAGTACAAAATACTGTTTCATCAATAAGACCTTATCATAAGTAAAATCTTTTCAACAAAATGTCACTTAAATATACATCAATGGTTTAAAATATCAATATCTAGTATTAGTAAGAATTATAGGTCTGTTTACAGCTTTTTTAAATTAATGTGTATCATTAGTTCTTCCTGTATATTATTTTTCAGCATAAATTACAGATGTAAATATATATTATCAAAAAGTAAATCTTTTGAATTTGTCTGTAACCACGAAAATAAAATTTTAAAGTGGAAATTACACTTTCCCATTTGATGAATGAAAGTAACGGAAACAATTTTGTATTAATGAATTCGAACTCTGCCAACTCAACATTTATTTAGAACTAATAACATCCTGTTTGCTTATTAAATAACTTTATGATCCGTTTTTATATCTATGCTGCAATGTTTTTTCTGCATCTGTCTGGCTTTCAAAAATAATGACCTTGACGGTACGTGATGAAGCTTACTATACAAATTACATGTATCAGATGCAACAAATTTGGTATCTTAGCTAACATCAAATTAATTTTGATGTTCCTATAAATTGTTGGCCTCTTAAATCAGATAGGCTTCTTGATAAAATTTTAAACAGCGTTTCAATTTCAATATAGTTTTTTGCTATTATAAACATTTTCAATAAGTTTTGCTCCTAAGTTGGGACTTAATAGATTATTTTGTGTAAAATATTAACAGTACCAATTTTACTGCACCATATGCGCATTTCAACAATAGATGTCTCTTCAGTGATGCTCCAAGCCCAAATATTTGAAAATCCAAAAATCATAAAAAAGATGAAGACCTTATAAACTAAAAAGGACAAAAAGTATAGCCAAAGCCAGACAAATTCTTTGCTACAGAACTGTTTTCTATACTTTATAAGAATGCAAAGATAAAAAAATTAACTAGAAGTTAATCTAGTATGACCGTCTGCTAAAATAATTTCATTCTCAAATACCTTTTTTCTGTTTTTTCTTGTCTTCTGAAGATTCACTATTACTATCTTCATGAGTTGAAGATGAGGCAGACACTTCACTATCCCTCAGCATACTCTCGTAACCACTACTCGTCCCTCCATGAATTTTATCCAGTTTTAAATGAGATCGTAACTCTGCACTAACATTACTACTATTATCACTACCGTGGCCACTACTCGAGTGACTCGGTGTCCGAGGTTTCGTCACAGTACTATACGGAGAAAGTAAACTACGTTCGTAAGAAACAATTCCACTATCATTACCACTGTCTGAATCGGTTCCTCGACTAATGTTTAACTCGTTAATCCTAACATTGTGAAGTTTACCCTTTTCACCTTTTTTCGTTTTTGACTTTGTCTTACTATTTGAAAGAATAGGCAGTCTACTTGTAGATGGTGACGATGCACTACACACAGATGACGGACTACTACTGATTGGTACTGAGCTGGAATCAGATGACAACTGACGGACCCTTTCTTTAGTTTTACTACATGACAAAGGTATTGAAGATGTTGATGTTTTAGTAGATTTACATGCGTCTCTTGATTGGGCAGGACTCGATGCTGCTGATGATGAACGTGATATTGATTTTTGTGGAAGCGGTGGTTTAGATTTTGAAGAAGTCTTGCTGATCGAAGTATCCCGCTCTAAAGTATATTTGAGAGACAAGTCTTTTAACACATCTGAGGTAGAATCTTGTTCTTGACTAGAAACAAACTGAACATTATTAATAACATATTCACTAGGTGGTGTTTTACCATGCAGTTCAAAGTCACTTGATAAATTAGGATTAGATGCACCATCTGGTTTCCGTGACAATGGCTGTGCAAGTTTATATATACTTTCATAATCAAAACTTTGATTTTTATTACATTCATAACAAACACTATGATCCGACTTCATCATTTCTTCTTGAACACTTTCTAAGCCCGTCTTTTCGCATTCCATTTCTTCTTCGTTTTCATGATTACATGACAAATTACTAAATGTGTCATCATCAGCCACATCATTTGTACCACAGTTATGCTCTAATTGTTCATCCACCTGAATTTCGTAAATTGAATCACGGTTATGTTGGATCACATTACTGAACTCCCCAGTGTCGGCACTACTATCGAAACTTATATCAGCAATGTTTGCCATTTCATCAGGACAACCTGCATCTGCGGTACTATGAACCTCAGGTTCAGCAGGTTTACATTGTTTTTCCTCTGAATTTTCCTCCTGTTCCAGAGAAACTGATCGTAACCACTCTGTGACACGTTTAGTGGTACTTGTTGAGGAAGGAAGTTGTGACTTAGTCAGATTATTTTGTGTCACTCCTTCTTTTCGTTTCAAACTCGGTGAATTTTTAGGCGAGTGTCTAGGTGAATGTTTGGGTGTAGACACAGACATTTTCTTTTTGTTTTCAGGTTTAGGTCTCCTGTATTTTGTTTCTGCTGTAGCCTCAATATCACCTTCTATTTGTAAATTTTCACTTCCAACAGAACTATGTTTTTCTACCCAGTCTCTCACAAATGGCTTTACATTATTATCTGAATCGTTTATACTTGTTGGTCTTGAATTTGACACCTGAGGTGTTAAAGAAGAACTACTTTCTGCACTGGCTGTGCTATCTGGTCTTTCTAGTTTAGATTTAGCCTTACTGTGCTTTGGATCAGATTTCCCAGATTTGCTAGCATGTGACCCTGTACACATTTCTCGTGGACCGTCAACCCACTGCTCTTCAGCATTCATTTTAGGGTTGAAAAGATGTTTCTTTGTTTCTTGTTTTTCTGGTTTCTTGAAGAAAGCTTCTGGTCCATCTATCCATTGTTCTGGTCGTTTTTGAACATTCGCACCTGGTCCATCTATCCATTGTTCACCTTTTATATCCTTCGGTGGATTAACTTGTCGATTTTTCTCTTCCTTTGAACTTGACAACCTAGTTCTGATATTACTTTTCTTTGGAACATGAACTAGTCCCAAGGTTGGTGACAATGGTGGAGACAAAACCTCTGGACTTTCTGACGATCTCATTGGTAATTTATTCATGTTGTGATAATATCGCAACTCAGTGGTATTACTCCTACCACTATCAGAGGCTGACCCTTCGTCCCCTGATGACCTTGATCCACTTGGTCGACGTGGTAGTCGTGGATTAGTTCGAGGTACAGAGCGAGGTGGTCCCTCATTGTCAGTAACTTCCCTGTCACTTAGAGATAGTCCATTAGGACCGAGATAAATGGCAGTATCACATGACTGTTCACTACTTGATGTGTAATCAGGGTCTGATAAGGAAGATGTGTATACCATGTCTTCCCGTAATGTTCCCATTCGAAATCCCCTAAGAGGTCGTCGTAAGCGACTTTCATCTGTTGAACTGTCATCAGAACTTGTTCCAGAAAACTGAAATATAATGGTGGTATGATATTACTTTTTCAATTTATTATAAAAAACTTCAAAATATTAATAATTATTTTGTCAACTGGTTTATATGAAAATTATACATCTTTTATTATATGTTAAATTAGTAGTAAATACAGTGTTAATTGTTGGCATATAATAACATATCATGTGGAATATTAAAAAAGAAAATGAAGATGTTATTCATCTTTTCTCTTACAAGCATACATAAAATGATTGAATTGTCTCCCCTTAACTGATGAAAATAAATAGATGGGACTAATATTTTAAATCTTAAATAAATGGTGTAATGCAGCTTTCATAATAATAAGACTATTCATCATTTGGTTACTCTTTCAGAATTCAATATATTTTTTATTTATTAGATGCTATTGAAAGACTTCTTTAATTACTCAAAAAAAAGAAAATATTAATGATGAAGCAAAATGACCAAACTTTCAACTTACTCTGGTTTTTCTTCGTCTCATCCTGTGTATTCTGGCCCCTAATTGTATGACTTGTAATGTTTCATTGTAGTTATGTACTGATGAAGACACATGAGCTATCATACATGCTCGACATGAAATATTTCCAAGGGAGTCTTTCAGAAGCTGTGCTACTTTACTATCCCTGAAAAAAAGAAATATGATAGCTATAACATGAGATTGGCTAAGATTGCTTTTCATTATACTGGTTACTATTTAGTATCCTTGTTTGGCTGGCTCATCAAATACAGGGAACCAGTTTCCCTGTTCTATGTGTTACAAATATGAACAATACATAAATTTCGAGTTTCAGTTGTAATTAATTTCCATGACAAGTTTTTAGCACAAGTAGCTGTCCTTGAATTAGAACATACAAATGAGAATCTTTTTTTATGTAAACAGATTCATTTGATAATCCATGAGAAATTTGGTAATAAAATGTTTGAGCTGTCGTGGCATTTATTCTAGGTAGTCTAATCTGCTTTTGAAATATAACCAAACATTTACTTTCTAACAAAGGAATATGATTATGGAAGTCCGCATATTAGTTTTTCGGTCTTGTTTGACAATCCTTATGTTTGGGGTCCACCCTATTTTATATAGATATTCCAGCTCTTTTTTTAAATTCTGATAATTTTTATCAAATATAATATTAAAGTTCATCATAATTTATTGATCATATAATCTTTTTTTATAGAATATGATATCATTTAAAAATTTAAAATGTGTTTATGAGTCTAGATAAGTATCTCACAGAACATAAATATGTCTAGATAACAGTTGTTGTTTATAATATTAGCATGAATTAGATCCAAAAACAAAAACATTGCTTCAGGAAAACAAAACATAACAAAACAAAAACAAAGAAAACGCACAAATAAAAAACATTAGTTATGTTTAAAAATTTACAAATATGAATTTTGACTTAATTGTATCACAAGTAAAAATTACTTACTATTTCAGATTTTCATGAACTTTAATATTCCTACATCGTAGTAAACATTTTCCCCTTGTCACATGTTAATCTCCCCAGCAATTCAATGTTTCTCACCTCAATGTGTAATTTAACTGGTCATAGAGTTTAACACTTTACAATATTACATAACTTGAAGCATGTGTTATTTTCTTTGAAACCAAACAATATTACACAAATGTGGGTAGGCCTGCAGCTGCTACAGCATATGATATAATTACTAAAATAACATGGAAAATTTACTAAAATACCTAATTATGTTTAAATACTTTAAGTTTTTATCCTTGTAATAAAGAACTTCTTATTAAAACTGGATGAGATTTCAAAAGCGTAGCAAACTTGAAAGACTTTTATTTTTCAAAACAAAGTGATGTTTGAATTACTATGAAATCAATTCTAGCATTAAATTGTATGCTAACAAATATATCAAAAGATCAAATCTTTCCAAGAGAGGTTTGTCTTCAAAGTAAACATTCTTTTAATTGGTATCAAGTATTGTTTCTCAACAGTGGGATGATTACTGTTTTCTAGTTCACATAGGAAATTAATTGCATTTTACTTAAAATAAACTTATTGAACACCAAAGCTATAAAAATAAAACATGTGTTTCTGCTAACATAACTGGCCTTTATTTTCTGTGCCTATTAATGAAATTTTTTTCTGGCTGCTTTTGTACTAGCACTAATAAAAACATGTCTCTTATAGAAACTTTTTAAAAAGTTGGACCAGATTCCTTTTAAAAGTATGTTAGTGTAAACACATGTATTTTTTTTTTTGCCTAATAAATTAATCTCACTGACCAGGTCAACAGTGTGTCTTATTATTTCCACAGAGTTGAATATCTCTCATGTTCACATAAGATGACCGAGTCACCTATAAATGTTACTTGGACCTTCTTCAAATAAACACTTTATGGCAGATTTGACCAAATCTCAACAAATGTGACTTGGATCTACCCCAAATGAACACTTCCCACCTGATCTTTCTAATGATCTTCAATGTAATAACAAAATAATGAAGAGATATATATTTTCTAGACGGACATCTGGTAAATATTATATACATCCCAGAGAACCTCTGATCACAAAATTTTCTTCATTAACAGTTTTTATATCCACAAAAAAAAAGCCATTACCGTTATTAATCGAGTTTTTTTCTCTGCAATATTAATTAAGCCATTTATCTGTAGCTTCTATCTCATCTTAAGTATAAAAAGTTAAAAAAAATACCAGATTTTATGAAGATTTTGGTTTTGTTCAAAGACCTCACGGATACCTGAAACACCCAATTAGATTTTTCACAACCAAAGTTTATTTAAAAAAAAAATTACAAAAAAGTGTGTAATGAATTAATGCTCTGTTTATACAGAAGGATTACAACCAGACAAGATAAATTAATTTAATAATATTATCATCACTTAGCTAAAAGTATTCTGTGGTATGTATAATCATAAAACTTTCAACATGTTTTAGATATATTTAATAAACACATGCCATGGTGATATAAATCTTTCTACTCTTTGAAGCAACATATGCGGGTTTGATATAAAACAAGCAAATGGGATTTAAAAGGGTGTATAGTGCGTTCATTCACCCTCCAAGTCCTGTCCCCTTTTCTTAAATTAAAAAGTTAAGAGTTTTGATTGGTGTTTTCAATTACTTCAGCATTTTTTAATCCTGACAAGCAAATGCCCCCTTGAATTTGAATAGGTTATTCAGATTAATATACTTATTGATGATGTCCCCTTTCACCAAATTAAAAAAAAGAGTAGAGTTGAATAGTGTTTTTTGCTTACTTCAGCATTTTTTTAATACCAAAAAGCAAAATCACTAAATGCCCCCTCCTTGAATATGAAAAAGTTATTCAGAAGTATCACAAATTATTGTTTTACACCACCAATGATAAGGATCACTTAGAAATAATCACTTCAAAATTTAAGTAAAGAAACAACAAGATGCTGTTGATTCAAATTATAACCGTTGAATAACGGCAAAGAATCATATTGATGAAAATAACTATAGTCGCTGACACTAATTGTGTTTATGTTCTTAAATATAATTAATTTCGTTTGTTGGAAATATTTTGCCTTAATCTATGCTTATATCATAATTAGGACAGAAGGTAATGAAATGCAAACTAGCGATAAGGAACCTATTGTTACAAGATGTAGGTTAGATAACTCTACTTCTTGATTAACTTTTAGAATGACTTTCATACAAAACTGACATATAATAACACAAAATATTATCATTATGGTTTTTTTTACGAAGAAAAATATTATAATATTTCAAATTACACACTATCAACTTTCTCATTATTTTTTTTACCGATTTTTTTTGGTAATTTTTCAGTCATTACGAAGTCACAGATCCATCTAAACAAGTATGTACGGGTAATTTATTAGATTCTGCTGTTTCAACTAATGGATACAGGATCAATTTTAAGAATTATCAAATAACGGTATCTTTAGAAATCCACATTTGTCAGGGTACAGATCAGAATGAACGAATAATAACAGTTAGAGGACACGGGGATCAATACCAAGGCTATTCTTCATCCCTCAATCACTTTCTCTAATCATTGCACAATCATATTTTATACCATCTCCCGAGATGATTCATAAAAATCTATGCCATATAAATCATATAAAGGTTATCCTCATAACACTTTTGGATTCCAACGGAATTTACAATTTTATGTATAACAATTTGTGAAATTAGAAACTGGGACTTTATTACTTTTAATGGCCGTGTCAAAAACATTTATTACTTCTGTTGAACAGACCTACTCTGATTAGGAGGGGAAAAAAGTCATATAACAAAAGAAATTGACAGTTACGGATATTGTGACTGTGTACTTAATGCATAAAAAGAAACATTTCCAATATTTTCTAAATGAGAAAAAAATGTTCAAAAGTTCAAGTATTTGCATTTTCCCATAAATGAATTTAGAAATTATTGGAGACTTTATTCAGGGTATGATGCAATGGGACAAATTGTTAAGTGAAGAGAAAAGGCATTTAGTAAGAACTTAAATGAAAGAAAACCTTACAGGGAAACAATAATTTAATCACTGTATAAGTATTACGGGAATAAAAAGTGTTTTCATTTGGCAGAGCCAAAAAAAAATCCTGTTTGACATATTACAGACTGTTGCTATAGATTTTTTACAACAAAGATCCCCCATCTGTTAACCTTATTTTGCCAGTGTTTATAGTATACAGAATGTTATAGATAGAATTTGAAATAAGAAGTTTTCAGGAGGTTAAAACACTGATAACCTTATTTTGCCAGTGTTTATAGTATACAGAATGTTATAGATAGAATTTGAAATCAGAAGTTTTCAGGAGGTTAAAACACTGATAACCTTATTTTGCCAGTGTTTATAGTATACAGAATGTTATAGATAGAATTTGAAATCAGAAGTTTTCAGGATGTTAAACACTGATAGAACTCAGGTATATCAGTCACCTGAAAAATAGCTTGTAATCACTTGTTAAACAAAATTTGTTAACAGTTCAATGGTTTCTGATGTAAAAAAAAAATACTTAGGATTTTACATTTTTTGCTTTTAATACAACTGTACTCTTTCAATTAAATATTACCTGTTAGGAACATGTCTTTGCCCATTCAGTAATGCCATAATGACGTTTCCAAGAGCAGGTAAATTCAGGCATGTGTCATTGGGGTCTTTGCCTCTTGAAGGACTTCCAAGGTCAATCAGATGTAACCTACTCCTGCCACCAGCAACTGCAAAAATAAAATGTATTGTGTAAACACAACTTTTGTTTCCATTGAAAATGAAAACTACCATCATAAATTCAACCTTGTCTGACAGACTGAGAAATTGTGACAATAATAATTTGTTAATCATGACATATCTAGTTAAAGATCTGACAAAATCTTGGGATCTACATTTCATCTCAGACATTGTTTCAATTAGAGAAGTAAAAACAAGACTTAATTCTGTTATTACTCAATTCTAAAAGTTCCTGGAACATTTTCAGAAACAGAAAGTGTAATCAAGACTGCCAAATGAAGAGGATTTCGTCAATTATCGACAATACGTGCTTGAAATTTTGATTCTGTTTTATATTTGCATAAAAGTACTTCGATCTGATTACATCGTGTAAAATTACAACAAGGGAATAACTTATTTTTATAAAAAATGCCAGTCTGACATTAGACTTATTGAAGACAAACATTACTGACATTCAACAATATTTTTAATCATATTTCCCAGGGTTTTGTATCTTTAAAGAGTATTCACACGACAATACAATGTTCTTTATGTTTGGTAAATTTTTAATGAACAATCAAATATCATGCAACCAGCTAGATCTTATGATCAAAACATGAAGCAACAGGTCAATTTACAGACAATTCAACATTTCAAAATTCAATTTGTTTCTAGATGAGAGGATTTCGTGATTGGCATTGCTAGTATTATATTTGATTTGGAAACACTCACATAGGAATAATAGGTATAGAATTTTAACGTCAGTAGAAGGCTTTGGTATTCCGATGACAAACATAATTTGTTATGAGAAAGAACGATTCTTGCAGCCTTCATTTTCTACGATTACTGTACAAGTAAACTGTAAATTTGATTGTATATATCTAAAGCAATTATTCGCAAGTTCATCAAGAATGTCAGTAACATTTGGACAAAAAAATAGGTCTTATCAGCGGGAGAATTCTGATAGAGTTTGTCAATAGCAAGCAACAGGATAAATTGTGTGACACCCTGAAATACTGTTATAAATGAATTCTTGATTGACCGGGATATTGATTTATGCAAATGATTCCTCACATCAATCATACAAGCATTAAATAAACATCAAGCCATTTGACAATTGTTGACAATGTGAGGCTTTTTACTTTACAAGTACTGTAATCTTATATTACATAACCAACCTACATTTGTCAAAGTTATCTAAAAGAAACAACTCCATGTGAAAACAATATATAATATAAACCATAAAAAGTCTTCCAGTATTTTACCGTACAAGGAAAATATCTGTGTGAGATAATACTCACTACTAAATACAGCTTTCTCATTAGTTATCTAATCTGCTTTTGACAAAGTTAAAAACTTTTTGTTTAAAACACAAATATACAGTCTATAAAAAAATGTTTTGAGCTACGATTTAAAAATTTTTTTTTATGTTTTTTTTAAATTTATTTTGCCTTTTTTGTTGTTTATGTCAAAGCTACATAACAGGCCATTATGTTGTAAATTTCAAAGCATTCTCAGCAACTACATCAGCAAGGAAAATGATAAATTTACCCTTGAAATTATGAATGAACATAACTGCAAATTTATTCAGAAAATTTTAATGTTGTAGTCTTTGACACACTCAGATTCATGTATCCCGCTTATCATTTTAATAATAACGCTTGTAATTTCATGTGTCCCGCACAACTTGGTTTCCCTTTTTCACGCACAATAATTTGACTTTCACAAGTCACAAATACAAAAATAATTTGACTTTCACGAGTCACGAAGACAAAAAAAAACAGCCAATCCCACATCACACTTAGACCCAATGAGACCCACCTGAGAGAAAGTGTCTACATATAAATAACTACTGTTAAATCAGTACCATAAATTAAGATATTTTCGTGGTTTTGACCAAATTGCGTTTTGATTTGCAATTTGTGGAAACATTCAAAATAAAAGTGATTTCTAAATTAGTTTTGTGCGATTGTTTTTTTAATATAAATACACATAAAATAGTACAAAATGTTGGTTCATATTTATAAAACATCATTGTAGTAAATAGAAAAAAAGGTTCTTAATAAAAAAATCTTAAACCTGATTATTGCAATCCCACCATATTCATTGCATGACTTTGACAGTAGAAGTGTGGGCAGGTCAATAAAAGTTTACATATTATTAAATTGAATATTTCTTCATGGTAGATCTGTGGCTTAATCAATTCAAGTTTACATCTTATGAATTTACAATAGAAGTATTGTTACAATAACTCATTTATCTGGTAATTAAGTAATAATAATGCCCCATTAAGCCGTTATGTCAGCTGAACATCTGACTCGAACCACAAAATTATGTAATATAGTGATTGTTTTGTTACTATATTAAATGTTTAGGGGATAATCTTATTTATAATATTCAATTATATAATGGAAAGAAAGGACATTCTGTACAAATTGATGATATTCTACTGGGGTTTTATGACTTTCATAAGGTACACAAGAGGACCTGATGCTCCTCTTAAATTGTCATATGTGCTCTTAATCTACTACTGTATTGTTTGAAAGAGTATATATATGTGCTTAAATACCCTTTTAACTCATTTGAATGCCTGTTTTAAGGTTTTAAGTCTATAAAATAAAGAATTTCAAAATTCAGGTCAACACCTCTCATGTAAATCGGGATAGTTGGCAGGTCTAGAATACAAATTTTCAGATTTTTTTTGCTAGAAGCAAACGATGATACCTCAAAATTTTCTTAAACTAAGAAACCTAATACAAATGAAAAAATAAAAAAGTTGACAGAAACTCATAATGCCTAATTCACACATTTTTAGGCATTTTTCTCTGTAAACACAATAAATTTGAATAAAACCTTTAATGGTCAACATTTCTGAAGTTTATAAACTTTTATGTTGCATCTTGAGCTTCTTACAACATCTTGTTTAGTTCCTTATAAGTATCATTGTAAATGATAACGATTTTATTTTTATGTAAACTTATGACCAAGTGGATTCATTGATTTATAGAAGTATAGTATGTCTCACAATGGCAAACTGTTGCAACATTTTCCAATTTGATTCTTCACATACATATATGTAATCTATGAATCATAAAATTTTAATTTTTCAATCTTGTATTACATCTAACAGCTTTCATGCTTAGATTTTCACTTTTATGATGTAAAATGCATTTAATGTGTTTGATTTACAATTTGATTCTTACACATGATTTGTCCCTTTATATTATTTCATGTTTTAATATTTATTCTATCCTTTTTAAGGTGTTCAATTTGGCAAAAATTTTAACATATAATAAAGTAAAATAAAATTCAACTACTGTAAAATGGGAATTCCAAACATTTGTTTTTTCACTCTTTTCAAAGCGACAAATCAAGCGGTAAAATAAACTTCATATTATCAAACACATTAAAAGTATTTTGTATCATAAATTTGAAGAAGAAAAATAAAAGAAATAAAAACAGAATAAAAGATTTCTCCACAAAAACCACAAAACCAAACAAGTCCTTGAAAACAGTAATTGCTGGGAAACAGTCTGAAACTTAGTTACTATTTATCATCCAATCAAGGGGATATAACTCATATCAAGGGATTAACACATAATCACTTCCCTATTACATCTGATCGTCTGAATTATTTGTGCTGTTAGTTCTGTGATCAGAAAACTGTGCCGATAATACAATATTAAGAGGGAGGAATTCTCTACAGAGACTCATAAGATAAACCATGATTTCATAACACTTGAATTAGTAAGCAAATGACTGCAATTTCAAAGTTATGTAATACAAAATAGACATATAAGATTACTGCAGTTTAGTTCATATATAGTAGCTATAACTTAATGTAAGGACAACTCCAGGGAATGCTTAAAGGAATGCACAATCTTCAATTCTGATTGATAAGGTCGAAATTTTCATTAAAGATCATTAAAGCTGTAAAAACACTTATGAATAATTTCATGCTCGATTGGTTTTTATTTAAAAACTTCAATTTTAAGACATTTGCTTCTTTCAATGAAATGCAAGGCAGTGAGTGAAATCAGACATGAAAATGTAAAAGGAACTTTTGCACTAATTTTTCATATGATCTGTCATGAATCCAACAAGAGGCTCTTGGCAGCCACCTTTAATCATAAGCTACAGATACATTAACATGAGCAACCAATACCATAAATAAGTCATTCCAAACGGTCAATCAGACTCAGAATTTAAGACAAAATGGTAAACAGTAAAAATTTCTATATGGTATGGGTTTTGCTCATTGTTGAAACTGTATGGTGACCTATAGTTCTTAACTTCTACGTTATTTGGTCTCTGGTGGAGAGTTGTCTTATTGGCAATCTTACCACATCTTCTTATTTTTATAAAAGACAGCTAGTTGCCACTCAATTACAAATATTCAGATGAACCCTCTGAGCCAGGTGAGCAAAAATGACATTAAAGCAGATAACCTTACCTCCAGGTAATCCTGCTTGGTTAGCTTTCTCTATTCTGTACTGATATACATGTATGGTGAATAGCATATGTGATGACTGACCATCATCCTCTGTAAAATAAAGGAAAGAAAATTTTCTCATTCTGTTGTTATGGTCTAATGAATTCCTGTCTCACCTCAATTCCTAAAACAAATATCATTACCTCCCCTTTCTCTACGATTTTTAAAAGCAAAGACTGTCATATCCATCTAAATGCTGAACATGTAATCCAAGAGATCTGATATGATTCTGAATGTCTAACCTAATGGGATCAAGCAATATATCATTTTCTACAATTTTTTTTCTTTGATAACAGATAATTATTTGATTTTATCATATTTTTAAAGAGGCATGCTTTTAATATAGACATACTAACAATAGAATCTTTTTTCTATTAGTTTTTGTACCTTTTAAACTTGACAAGATAAAGTGCTTCTTTCTTCTTGCCATACAAAAAAACCGAGGTAAATTTGAGATTTATTGCAAAGTCAAATCTCTAAAATTTATTCATAGTTCTATCAATACACATACCAAGAGCAGTTCTGGTGGCCAGGGCAGCATCAAGATAGTAGCATGCTCTCTCAGCAGTGGGTGCACGTAGTTCACTTTGGTTTTCTAGCTGTGTACCACAAATAGGATCCTCTCTTAGGTATACTCCTGGTGATGTTCCCTGTCCAGATTCAGTACCTGTCAAAAAAACCCAAAAATGAACAATCAAGATATGAAAGTAACATTAAGATGAATAAAAGAAGAGTGTATACACCAATGAGACAGCCATCTAATGACACACATAAAACAAGAATGTGTCCATGTTCAGTGGACCGTGAAATTGGGGTCAAAACTCTAATTTGGCATTAAAATTAGAAAGATCATATCATAGGGAACATGTGTACTAAGTTTCAAGTTGATTGGACTTCAACCTCATAAAAAACTTTAACCAACAACTTTAACCTGAAGCGGGACAGATGGACGGACGAAGGAACAAACGGATGAACGAACGGAAGCACAGACTGAAAAACATAATGCCCCTAGGTGGTGCATAAAAAGAAAAAAGACGCTTAGGTTCATATATGAGGCAAGACAACCTTTTGAAAAAATCCTCTGTGTTCCTAAAGGGTAAGCAGTTCTGCTCCCAAGTGAAGAGTAGGGGAGTTCAGGAAAAATTTAAATACTGTAGTTATATAATGTCTTGTATTTTAGTTTTAACTCTATTCTAATGGAATTTCAGATTCTTTTAAGAAATGTTATATTTGTATGTGGTTTAAAATGAATGGTTTAGGATGACTAATAGCAATGTCCAAATATTTAAAAAAATCCATAAACTAATAGAACATTTACCAAAGATAGATATTTATGAAACATTTGGAACAAATTTGCTTAATTAAACAATAAAACATGAGTGATTTTTTTTATCTGCTTGATCCTAATGCACCAGCTTGAAACTAGAGAGATTATTTGAAATGATTTCAATAAATTTGAAAACCTTTATTCAAATCCAAATCATATTTTTATTAAAATTTCATATCTATTTCAAATAATTACTATTCAAAGTAACAATTAATAAGAGTATTTCTAAATTAATCAATGGCCTCTTTTCACAATTAGCAAACAGCATATTTTTATCATCTGACATCAGCAAATACTGCTTAAAACATTTGACACTGAACACTGTCTATTTTTTACAAAGATAAAGGTATTTGTTACAAAACATAATTTCTAATTCCATATTATATAACTTTAATAATCAATGTTTTCAATTCAGTGTTTAAAAGCATTAATTAAATATGTCAATTTTAATTTACACAATATTTATTGCCAATACTACTATTCGATGGATTTATTAAAGGGCTCGACATGCAATTTTAGAATTCACATCATAGAAATCAATACTAACTTACTGTACTAACAAAACTGCTATCTATGTTTATGAGAAAATTGGCTTTTTCAATTAGGTGTAGAGAAATCTATAAAATTTTAAAATCCTGTTTCATCTATGTTTTACAGCTTTTAATTTGGACTTCTACTGTATAATTTTTTCTCAACGATTTTTAAAAAAAAAAAATATATAATTTTCAAATTTCTAATTTCAAAATTAGGCCTGCATTTGATTTTTTCTGTCTCAATTAAGATAAGATTTCTATCAGGTGATGACAGAATTTAATGCTTTGAACTAACAAGCGATGTTATAGACTATGTTGACAGTATAAGGTTGTGTCTAGAACTAATTTATTCCTTGCCACACAGGTTCTGAGGTCCCATTGAAAATGCATTTCTTGCCAGTATACTTATTGCACCTGTCCTAAGTCAGGAACCTGTTGTTCAGTGGTTGTTGTTTGTTGATGTGGTTCTTAAGTGTTTCTTGTTATTTATATAGATTAGACTGTTGGTTTTCCTGTTTGAATTGTTTTACACTAGTCATTTGTGGGCTCTTTATAGCTTGCTGTTTGGTGTGAGCCAAGGCTCTGTGTTGAAGGCCGTACTTTGACCTATAATTGTTTACTTTTTACACATTGTGATTTGGATGGAGAGTTGTCTCATTGGCACTCATACCACATCTTATTTCAATATATTATGAAAATCTGTATGTGGGACTTTCAATTTGATCAATAGGTAAATTAGAAGAACTTTACAATAAGTAACATAAGATGAATAACCAGAATCATAAAAGTAATTTTTTTGTTACATTATAAAATGCTCTTGTTACGAAAATGAAAAAAAAAAAAATCATAGATTTTGGTGTTTGCTCATATAGGATTAGGAATAAATGGGTATTTTCCTTCAAAACCAAAAGCACCTATAATTTTTTTAACTTAAATTAGTACATCTTTATAAAATCCTTACCCTGAGCAACTTCACTCAATAAATCTCTCAGCAATTCCTGTTTTCCAGTTACTTCTACTGCAGATACCCTCACTGAGAACCGGGCACCAGTTTTATCCTTTTGTTCATTGATCAAACGAAAAAGCCAGGTAATGGCACTAGGTATTATTCCTAAAGTCTGGGCTGATTTGTCACTTCCTACAATGGTGTATGATTTTCCTAAAATGAGAAATTACAAAATGAATTTTCAAAAACAAAATACCAATCTATAAAATCTAAAGCTAAACATTCATACAGGTTTTGATTTTAGTCCAAGAATTGCACATACAATTTTGATATTCATCTATTGCACATGCGGATGTACAGAAAACAATGAAGTCAATTCAGATTGTGTTTAGCTTGTGGTTATCAAAACAAACTTTCAACTTCCACATCATTTAGACTATGGTGGATATAAGTTGTCTCATTTGCAATCATACCACATCTCTTAACTTATATATTTCAAGACTAACCCCTGAAAGTATTTTTCTTAAATACCATCACAAGCTCTAGAAATTTAAGTCTTTTTCCAACTGTGTTGAAGATTAATGAAGAAAAAACTCTTAAACTGAGTCTTTTTTGATAACTGAACACTTAAGAGATATTATTATGAAACTTCAACATATAAATATCACAAAAAGCTCTTAAAATCTTAGTTTGGTTTTTACAGTTAAACTCAGTATATATTAGAAGTCAAAAGACAATTGATTAATGCAGGCAAAAACAAGAGAATAAAAAAATCAACTTTATGACACGAATACACTTGAAGATATTACCATAAAATCTAAACAAATAAATGTGCAACCTTTTTCAAATAATACTTGATTACGTGTACCACAAGGAGTCTATGAAATTGAAGAGTTCCTAATGATTTGTCAAATACAACTTAACATAACGAAGAAAGAGAACTTTTGTAAATTGATTATCAATCCATTATAAATTTAATGCATTATACCTATTGACATTAGGAATATTTAATTTCTAACATGTACGACTTCTATAATTTAGACCATTCATCTTGCAACCAGATCGCACCAGCACTAATTTGTACATGACATATGTGAAAAAAAGTTCAAGCATACTTTACAAATTATTTTAATGCAATGTGAAATTGCACCTTACATGTTGATTACCGTTTTGTTACTTAAATGAAGTGCAGATCCAAAAAACAATCATGTTAAATGAACTTTGAAAGAGATGTGTGTTAATGAATTTTTTTATCTTGCTTTCTTTTACAATCGGAATCCTTTCACCTATTATGTTAGGAGATTGCCCTGACATCTGACAGGGCTTGTTGTTTGGGGCTGTGGGACATCAGAGTGCAGTCCATATATAAAATATGGAAATTGCTCATCCAAACTTTGGGAGGCAAGTTTTTATCTTAAAAGGCCGAGTGGTCTTAGTAGTTCAACTACTGTATCACCAGCCTGTCAACACTGAGGTTGTGAGTTCAAATCCCGCACAGGGCAGGTGCACTTGACTCCAATCTTAATTGACTAGGATTGTCAGTTTTCCTACCGAAGGTCGTGGTTCTCTCGGGGCACTCTGGCTTCCTCCACCAATAAAAACTCACCACCACGAAATAGCACAATAGTGTTGAAAGTGGCGTTAAAACACCAATCAATCAATCAATCAATTTTATTTTAAAACCATAATAGATCAATTTTCATGTATATAATTCATACATCGATCTATTTTTTTTATTCATTCTGCTCCACGAGTATGCAACTTTTATACACATATTGTATAAGGTTGTAAAATTGACTCTTAAAACAAATACCAAAATTTAACATTTTATAATGTTTCATAGCATTTGAAGTACAGAGCCAAAAAGACAATCCTTCTTTTTCAACAGGTTGACACATAGAACAAGATGCTCCCTGCAAGCCTACACATATCTGAAGTTTATACAAGCATAACAAACTTAAAATGATTTAACAAAGAATAATGGATATCTTATCGCCAATCATCGCTACTTATTTGATTTTGTAAGTGTACTTGTGCAATAAAACAAACATTTTTGATAGGGATAAGTCTAATCTGCCTGACACCAAATTGATATAAGTACATACTTGTCTATACTTCAGGAGTTTTATATACAAATATGGTTATATGATCTTTTACACTTATAACTATCATGGAAAAAAATGAGAAATTCCCCTTTTAATGGAAAAATATCAAATTAACTAAATAAAATGATCATAAATGTTGTTTGGAAAAATGAGAAATTCACCCTTTGGTGGAAAAAATATCAAATTTACTGAATAAAATTGTCAAGATGTCGTTTGAAGTTTAGACTTTTTTCATTTGATGCTGGATGACTGTCTCATTTAACTGTATCTGAAATGTTCTATTTAAAAAAATGTAAATGGTTAATAAGAATTTGAGGCTTCACGCCTTTTTCTGTTTTGATATTTTTTATGACCACATGTACGTATAAAGGTAGGCAGGTAACGAAAAGAGTTTATCCTTATTACGTGTCCAATAAATCAGTATGAACAATATTCCTTCTTTTACAGAAAGCGTTAAGATTTTATGATGTATTATTTTAGCTGATTTTTACATGACATCAATTTTCAAAAAATCTGTGTGCAGATTATATGCATAAATTTGCCATTCAAAACTTGGCTCATAAAACAACTCAAGGGTGAACAATTACCTTATTAAGCCAAGTAGAGAGAACTAGACAATCCTTATACTCATAAAAGATTATTCAGGTCTGGCACTGTGATCACATGACAACTCCGCCATAAAAAACTTTGATATAGACTATGATCGTCAGCCTAAGTACCTAACTTCAAAAACTCTTTATATTTATGGAATTCTACCATGTTAGCAACATTATATGAAAATTATGGAAATCATATTCTATGTACAATTGTTTTTTACTCTAGACACGATATTAGCAAGTCTATAAGGCCTAGTTACATATGTTTTACAAATGATGTGAAGGCGGCATTTCTACCAATTTACAAAAAGTCAATATGGGCTAGAGATCACTATTTTATACAATGTTTCGGTTGTATTCAAGATTGTCTTCTGAGTAAAGTTCTGACACTCGATAAAATCTACAAGGACTGAATACAGTGTAAGGACGAACTTAATGAATTGTTTGAACAGACCAAGTGAAAATGAATTTAATGTGTATTATGGAATATTAACAAATCTACCGGGACTTGTTGGATGTTTGTAGCAATTAGTACAAATCGATGGACTCGAGTGACCTGTCCCTGTACTTAACTAATGCTTCACTTAAATGCAATAGATTAATTTTATTGCAGAACAACTATTGTGGTATAAATTAATTATTCCCGTCATGAACAACTCAATGAAGAGAGTAATTCAATCATTTTCTCCTTTTGATGACAAAGACCATTTTAAAACCGGCATATTCCTCGGCAAAAAATCCAATGCTATTAACCATGTTCGATTTGATTTAAAAACAATGGAAGACTGTTGCATCAATATGCATCGTTTGTACATGGTATTTATCCAATCAAATCTAATTGTTGTAACCATATTTTATTTATTAAATACAAGGGCCTAGTGCTAGGTTAGCTGATAATCAAATTTTGACACATCGCAATGAGATTGGGAAACATGACTCATCGTAATATCTATAACCATACAAGGATGTCCATCAGAAATGTATGTTTCATGTCCAGATTAAATCATGTATTCATCTGTTGATCTCTAGCGTTCAGAACAATACCGCCAATTTACACCAATCATCAAATTATAATGAAAACTGTGTTTAATCAGAATCGTTACAATCAAGTGCTTTACAGTTTCTTAACCATAAAGTACATTACGGCAATCCAATTACCGTGATCCTGTTTCATTTGATTCCAAATTTCATAAGCTTAAGAACAATCCAGACGGTTATTTCCTTTATATTGATTGCTGGTGTTTCACGACCAGTGGCTATTTCCTAAGACTGACATTTTAAATGTGAAGGAAATTTATATTGTCTGGCTGTTTTAATTGAAACAAATTTAAAAGACTAAATTTAACAATACGAAATAAAAAATCATAGCAAGGCCATGGTATTTACTTATTATTTTTTTAATGAAAATATTGCAAGCTAGCAGTATTTAATTTTTATTCTTATACAAAAAACCTGATTTTTTTAATTAAACACAAAATATTTAATAATATTGAGAATACTTGTTGATTTTTTAAACATGTCAGATACATTTTTGTTTTAAAATTTTTTGAAGAGCAACTGAAGTCAAGATTTGAAATTAGCAAAAACTACAAAAGCAGAGAGAAGTCCAAGAACTAGTAATCAGACTGGGATGACCTCAAGAGCGAAATATACACATTTTTTTCTTAAAATAAACAAAGTTATTTTCCTAAACCACATAGATTTGCTGGTATTAGAAAGTTATTACCGAACACAACAGGAATAAGTCAGAGAAATAATTTTTATTTCTTTCTCTCTCCATGGAATCGTGCCTGGATCTGACCTAAACAGTAGGAACTAAACAATGGTACAACATCTAATTACTTTCGTTAATCATTACCAGTAACTCTTCATAGATAACTAACCATATCTATTGTGAAATGGATAATATGCAACATATTTTACATAGTAAAAATGCGACTGGACTTAGCTAAAAATAAAAACGTAATAGTTCTTAGCTGGAAGTCCGGTCAAATCCAATCCAAAATATTTTAGCAAGACATTTAAATCACATGATCACGAGAATACAATACCCTATTTTTATAATTCTAAGTTCATTAATCATTTTCCATTTTTAAATTTGAACACTAAAGAGTTATTACCCTTGTATGCATATTTTTACACGAGTTTCTGTAGCTTTAATAAATAGAAAATTTGGAGATTTCTATTTTAAATTTATCTTGATATTTTAATTTGCTTTATAATTACAACCTATATGAATAAAAGTGAATCTATTGAATCTGTACTTTTATTAATTGTCTATTTGTCTATTTATTTTTGGCCATGGCGTTGTCAGTTTGTTTTCGATCTATGAGTTTGACTGTCCCTCTGGTATCTTTCGTCCCTCTTTTTTGCCTATTTATTGATAAATATATACCAATCTCCCAAAATATATTTACCTATATATATGTAAAATTAATGTTTAACAAATTAAATTTTTTACACTGGTCTATTTTTTAAACAATTCACCAAGGTACAAGAACAAAAAATCTTCCAACTTTTGTCTGAAAGTCTAAATAATTAAAATACTGCCCTTCCTCAAAGAAAATCCTACACAGAATAAACTTATGGTAAAATCATTAAGAATATTTCAAAGCCATTAAAGCATGTTCTTTTAGCTAGTTTAGTAAATGCTACATTAAGAAATTCTTGGAGTTAAAGCTGCTGTGAAGTCTGGAAAAATTCCAATGTTTGAAAAAAAAAAAACTTCAAGTAGACAAGCAGACAACAGTCTTTTTGTTGTTAATCAAATTACACCACCTGTCACTATAGCAACTTTAAATTAAAAGAAAGGACAGCAAAGAAGACTTCATAGTTCTCGAAAAGTAGTGGTTCGAAAGTTTTGACTACCAAAAACTTGCAAAGGACTAACACAGTTTTGATTTTTGCAAAAGAAATATTACTAATAGTGAGGACCAACAGATTTTCTTCAAGAACCACCATTTAAAAATTATTTCATGGAGCAATACCTTCCAGTGTTGGTCTAGGCTCATATTCACTGGGCTGTAGATATGTAGACCCTTTGGTGTTAAGCAGATAACTTGTCTCATTAAAAATAAAGGTTAATTTTTAATTGACACTATCAAAAATTGTACTTTCTGAATCCATCAGATGGTAGAAACAAATACCAAAGTCGAAAATTGTTTTGGAGAAGCACTGTGATGTTACAGAGGATTTGTAACAATCCAAAATATGGCTGGATCTTTACAAACTTTAATAGACACAAGACAGGGGACAGTCTAAATTAATATTTTGCCCCTGTGGTCTTGACAAAGTAACATGAACAAGCATCAGACAGAACCACTGTTCCTATAATTTGTGGATAAAAATTTTGTTAATTGAGATCTTGTAGAAACCTACCTATTTTTGAATGACCGTATGTAAACACACAGCCATCAGCACCACCGACCACGCCCTGTATAATTTCTGTCAGACTACTGGAACATAATTCACTCTACAAAACAAGAAACCATTCATCAACATAGGGACAATCAAAAATTTGATTAAAGATCTTTTTTTAGGAAAAAGATAATCTTTCTTTTTTAATACATTTGTAGCCCCATGAAATTGAAATTTAGAATCTAATCCCCTTTCCTCTCCCCATTTTTTTTCAATTTCTAACAAATTCTGTGTAAAAGTCAATAAAAATCTTCCCTCCCTCCCAATATTTTTGCAGAAAGAGGGGGGGGGGGGGGGGAGATAGAATAAGAATCTAAAAGTAAATTTTGTGAGCCCTTTAGGTCCACTACTTAGTAATAGGTCATTACTACAAATGTATATGTTTTATTTCAGTGGGAACCTGAAAAAAGGTAAGATGTGTTTGAAACTTTAAATGCAACATTAGGGAGCTACCATTTGATTTTTATGGGGGGGCTAGGATGAAAAATTTTGTCCTGCATTTTTTTTAGTTGTAATCTCTGTCCTGCCTTTTTATTTTTCACTCTATTCGGTCCTGCCTTTTTTTTATTTGTTTATCCTGACTTGTTTTTACATAAATTGTCATCCTGCCTTTTTTTTTGCAAAGTGTCTCATCCTGCCTTTTTTTTAACTCAAACTCCTGTCCTGCCTTTTTTTCAAATTTCATCCTAGCCCCCCCCATAAAAATCAAATGGTAGCTCCCTTACAGAAAACCTAATTTTTACCTGTGAATCATCAGGTGAGAAGACAGCATCAAAGGCAAACATTTTTGGAGCTGATGTTTTTCTGTGTGCAGATGTAGGGATACCGCTGGCTGTAGGATCAAACACTGTGACCTGTTTTCTACGAGGATCTATAGATAGGAAGGAAGTTCCTTGGTCACTGTGATGGGTTGATGGACATATCTTTAACATGACCTTCACCTGAAAATAATAAAATATGTAGTGTAACTATGGTATCAAATTATTTCAAACTAAGAAGAAAAACATGAATGCAGAAAGTTCTGTTGTATTTCTAAAATATCAACACAAAATCAAATAAATGGAGAACGTGTCCATGGGACACAGATGATGCCCCTGCTTGCATATAACGTTATAAAGGGGCATAACTCCAGAACGGTAAAAGTGAAGCCACCCAGGTTCGAACTTGATCTGAGTTTTGTGATAATAAGCATTGTGTATAAGTTTCATAACATTTGGTTGAGGCAATCTGAAGTTTTCGGGACATTCATACCGACAAGGGTAAACTGCTATGGTGGGGGGCATAAAAAATATATTCCATTGTGGTTTTATTACATTTTCTTGACTGAGCAAAGCCAAAAAATTGATAGTTCAATCTAGATGGAAGCAATATTTTTCCAACAGAAGGGGAAGTATACAAAAAATTCTAATTCTCTAAATTCTGTAATGTCCGACCCCCATCATGTTTTACTATGCCAAAAATAAAATATCAATTTCTGATCAAAAGTCAAATCTGTTACTGAGAAATGTGTAGACTAGAGATGTTTTCATTTTGTTTAAAAAAACATAATGAAGGATCATATTTATACATTATTGATAACAAAAATAAACATATAAGTATTGGCCTACTTAACTCCTATATCTTCTAAAAATAACAAAATAACATGAAAACTATTCATTTTTAATTTCTCTGATTGAAAATTAATGTAAAAGTGCTCATCAACTTATTCATGAAACATGTTGCATGTGCTGGAATCCTGCAACTCCATTAAATGAGCAGTTATTTTCTCATATCACAAGATGATTATTACAGTTGGTAAAATAGATAAAATATTGATAGATTAAATGTTCAACAGCAATACACATCTGTATTGTATGTAATTATAGAACAATTATATTTAGTGCCCTCTAGGGGCTAATTGTTTTAATGACCAAATATGCTGTCTAGCTATACACATACAGGGTAAAGACATTCAGTTCCGAAATTCCCTTGAGTCTACTAAAATGGCTCCATCTTCAGTTAGGTTTTTATGATATTTGACTTATCAACTTTATTTTTCCATTCCTATCTGATTTTTATTACCGTTTCGGGAATTTCATGCATATGGATATTGCAAATTAATAAAGAAAAACGAATTGGGGAATAAGTTTTTTGTTTTAAAGACCAAGATAACATAAAAAGATGTACAATAAATGAACCTGAAGCTTCCAGTCTGGGAATTCCTGGGGAAAAAGTGCAATCCAACTGAGTGGTTTGTTTATGTTATTGTTTACACATAGCTGATGTGTTTTACTGCAATGTACGGCACCAGTTTTTACAGGAGATATTTATTGCAGTTTTATTTTTCACAATTTTCAGAATGTAAACTTATCTTAAATATCAAACTAGGGAGAAATGATTTTGCATAATACATGAAAATAGTGAAACTACAAGAGAACAAACCAGGATAGTAACAGGAAATCATAAATAAGTATACAATTAAGTTATCTAATGTATGGTTTTAGGAACCAGTAGAATCGTCCAATTTCTATAACTAAATAGAAATGACCTAGAATAAAATTTTCTAACAAATGCAGATGAAATAGTATTTGATAAATTGCTTATATTATATGAATTGATTTGTGATAAATTGTCTTGTCTCCATTTCTTTTATTACAGGCAAGTAAGTTGGACTTTATAACAAAGATGTCATGAGAAGAAAAGGATCTTTATTATAAATAAAAATAATATCGATGATCATTGTCATTTCTTTCTTCCTTGTCAAATACAAAGGCAAACATATACAACAATTCTATCATATTGAAATTTTAACATCAAGGCGATTACAGATATGGATAACCTTGTTTCTACATGTAACACCCATTAACATCATCTGATATTGTTACAGTTACATATATATAGATTCCACCACTGCATCAAGTGCGTTACATATATATAGATTCCACCACTGCATCAAGTGCGTTACAATATTTCTCCACTCGAGACAATTAAATTTTAATATTTAAAGCGCAAAGCTTGCCAAGCTTTTTGAATAATTCAAAATTTAACTGTTGAGAGTTGAGAAATATCGTAATACACGAGTTATAGTGGTGGAATCTGTTTCTCTCATGATTTTTAGTCGATATCTTAACAAAGTTTATCCTTCCTTTTTAAAGTATAGCAGAAAGTTGTGTTCTTTATATGTGACGTCATCAGGCATTTTTTCATAATGTCACAATAGGAAATTCAGAAGAAACCAAGAAAACTTCACATCATAATTGAATTTTGACCAATCCTTTGCTGAGAACAAAGTTTTCTCTAGAGATGAGAAATATTTTTTCTCGCACCGATCGAGAAATGTGAAAAAGGAATGAAAATTAGAAAAAAAGGTTTTTACACTTGCATATATAAGACCTGAGAAATGGGAAAGCAGTTGCAAATTAACTATTTATGCAATAATTTCTGTACATTTAGAATCAAATTGGTATATCATGAGCCTACTCATGGGGTTTTTGATTATGTGATTACTTGGCCGTTTTATAGTGATTATTTGATTACCAGACCAAATATTTCATGATTATTTGATTATTTGATAATCTAAGACTGTATTTTTGATTATTTGATTATCTTGTTTAAAATAGAAATTAATGATTATGTGATTATATTGGTAAACAATTTGTGATTATGTGATTATATTAATTGGTAAACAATTTGTGATTATGTGATTACTTGGACACTCCCATGAGGGGCCTCTATCATGCAACAGTGTAGTGAGATAAACTGAACTGTTACCATGCGAGCTAATCTGAAGTGTGTCAGTATACTATACAGTCAGGTATAACGATAGGACATTTATTTACATGTTATTGACCCTGTATAGCTTTTGACCAAAAATTTTACGTCTGAAAAAAAAAATCCCATTACCTGAACATTTCAGTTTAAAACATAAGATCAATTTTTATCAAAAGAGTTTTTGTGAAAATATTTGCAGCAATGCAATAGTTGCAATCAACCATTAAATAATCAAATCATATAGTTTCGCTTGTATGGTTAATTTCGTTGATGCTATAAATCTGTGTCCTTTCAGAGACCAATGAAATCGATGGTCAGTTTTTCAGATAGGTAAAGTGTACTACAAATTTTGGTAGACTTATTAGACCAAATGTACTACAAATTTTGGTAGACTTATAGACCAAATGTACTACAAATTTTGGTAGACTTATAGACCAAATGTACTACAAATTTTGGTAAACTTTGACCAATTTGAACTACAATTTTCAGTAGACTTCAAATCAATTTTAAGATTCTTTGAAGAACATTTTTACTGTTCCTTATCTTAAAAGACCTTCTAAACAAGCAAATACTACTAACATTTAGCAAGTTCAAAAATGGCCTCTTGGGAGCAAATTTAGTAAGCCTGTTTTGTTTTTTGATATCTTTATTGTGACATCTATAGCGCTTAATGATTGATTGATCTTCGAAGCTTAAAACAAACAAACCATAAAATAACACTTAAAAGTCTCTTTTTGCACAATTTTTTCACAATTTTATCTTACGAATATAGCTACAATTATGAGGCAACAAGAGGAATGAATATTGTTATGTATAAAACCATCGTATTTGGTGCTATGAGTAAGTGGATTTTTTTCTTCATAATTCAATTTGTTTGATTCTAAAACAATATTAAAATTGATTTTTATGTCTTAATTAACACTGTTTGCTCAATATAATTGTTTTGTATCATATAGCATAAATGCACATAAAAATGATACCATCTACATTATGCAATAACTGGTTTATAGCGACAGAAAAATAAAAATCTGTGAAATATAATAAAATTTAATACATTATGTCACTGATCAGATGTACCAAATGTTTGCCGAAAAATTAATTCGGAGAAACCCAAATTTCTGTATATATCTAATGGCTAACTGAATCAACAATAATCTGCGAAAAACCGAACAACTCCAAACAGACAGAGACATATGTCCAAAGCATAAAACAGATTAGTTTACCAACAGAAACAACTTAAAATTCAATTAATGGAAAAACTTTTGAAAATCTCTCTATTAAGAGTCTATACCAAGATGCTTTAAGATTCAATCAAATCAGATACACTTAAAAATCCTATAAAGTGTCTATACTAAAATAATGTAAGAATGTCTTAAGTAGATCTGAGATCAAATCGACAGATTGAATTTTTTTCAAATGAACATCCGCCAGACACCTATGGTTCGTCTATTAGATCTATTTACTGGTCCTAATAATAAAGCTGCGATCATTTCTTTACAGATAACTACTGAAAATGTTAAATCCATAAAATATAAAAATATTTCTGCATGCGTAAGTACATATAAAGCCAACTTAATCCTGTTAGAAATATTAATCATAGATATCTTTATTACACCAGACTCCAAAGATCTGGCATAAAAACCATGCTATCATACAGAGCTAGCTGCTAAATTAATTCCTCTTCAATATCAACCATTTGGCCAGATTTATGACAATTAAAGCTAACATCTTCCCGTACAAGTTATAAGATAGATGTTTTGGTTTATAGCCACTTTTAATGAAAGGTTAGTGTAATGTTTGGTTATTTCGAGAAATATTAATGAAATATAAGTACAGGGTATATGGGAACGAAAATTAATTTTTATGACACGATACTCTGATTGGTTCATGTTCGGACAAAAGGGGAGATAATATACCAGTTCCATGAGACATATGATATTGTTGTTTCTCTTTAAAGTTCTGGCTTTAATTGCTGACACTGAGGTAACTCATCGAAAGCTTTGATATTGGGGACATAAGGAAACGAATTCCAAATACTTGGTTTGATTACAAGCGCTGTTTTTATTAACTTTTTATTGGGGCCAACTACTGTGATATAAAATCTGGATTTATTTTGTGCTTATTCCCAACAAAAATGTACAGAAAGGCTTAATTACAACATAAACCAAGCATGTGTTAACCAGTTTTCTTACAACTGGCCAATTAAATTTAATCATCAGAGTTAAAATTAAACTTTTCATGTTTCAATCAAGTTTCTTCCAACTGGTCATTTCAATTAAACTTTTATCTCCTATTATCAAAATAACTGTGATAAAGTATTGACATCAGTACTGGTCAATTGAACAATCTTGATTTAGGCCAGACTCTACCTTTAATTACCAAAGTTCGAACAATGCCAACTTCATCTTATAACATAATAATGCCAACTTCATCTTATAACATAATACCAACTTCATCTTATAACATAATAATGCCAACTTCATCTTATAACATAATAATGCCAACTTCATCTTATAACATAATACCAACTTCATCTTATAACATAATAATGCCAACTTCATCTTATAACATAATAATGCCAACTTCATCTTATAACATAATAATGCCAACTTCATCTTATAACATAATAATGCCAACTTCATCTTATAACATAATGTTCTAACAACTAATCCCTTTAAGGAATAAGAGCTATCTTAAGAAAATTAAAGTTTTGAAGAAAACTCAGGTGAAATTTAGCAATAAAGTTATAATAGTATCAGTTATTTGTATGAGCAAGATGATTGCACCCAGCTATCAACTTTTCAAAATGCTTTTACAGAAATTTGAATACTAGCTTCTACTTATTGCAAAAAAATATGCATAAGGTTTCAGTGATTACATTCTAAAGTATAAAATTTGAGACAAAAATTTGCCTATTTTCGCTTATTAATATAACTTATACTAAATGCAAGACTTATATCATTTGGATATGTCATTTTCTCCCTAAAAATCAACTTTCTATTCCATTTTTGAACAATTATTTACTATGCATACGACATTAACATCAGACATTTGGCCATATTTCAATACCTTGGCATTTACTTTCGTACATGTTCAAAGAAAGGTCTGTATCTACTAGCCCATTACAAAAATGTAAATATTTATATGTGCATGTCTGACACGATAAAAATTCCCTTAAGGGGTCATAAAATGATAATGTTACTATTTAGTATTATTGAACCGAAAAATATATCTATGTAGCTATTGCTTTTGGCTATTTAACAAGTTTCATGGTAATTGATCTAGTTTGAAGAGTGGCTAGCCAGAGTGGTTGGACTCCAACAAACCTACCATCAGAGGAAGATAAAGACTTTGTTATCTGGTCTATCTTATCTATCAACATAATTATATTAGCATCAGAAATAAAAATGTAATAAATATAGGAAATCTTTACCATCTATTTTAAAAGGGTGATCATTAAAGACCAACAAATTGATTTATCAATAGCAATAGAGTCTGGTGGCCTTTAGATCAGTGTAATTTTACATCTATAGTATAAGTTTATATTTTTCTGTCCAGGAAAATAAATCCTTGTAAATTTGGACGATTGTTGGAATTCTGGCACCAGACATAAGTCTGATAAGTAAATAGATACAAAACATCATTCCCTTCAGTGACAAGATTGTAATTGAGAAGACGGAATGTAATATAGCACATTGAATAGTACAAAAATCAGTAGACCTGACCTGGTCTTAGTACTGTATTAATGCTGTCCCAGGAGAAACAGGGAACCAGTCTTTGAACTGTAATATCTCCCCAGACATCTTAACTTATTTCATTTCAGATTTGAATTTATTGTTCTTCATAATATAATATGTCTACATATAACATATCAAAGGTTCAACAGTTATCTGCCAGTCTTTTAATATTTTTCCAATTATATATCTAAGACTTTTTTGAATGGGGAAGAATTTAGTCTGAGCTTTGTTTTTGCTATTAAGTTTTATAAGATATGGAATGATTAAATTTACAGGAACACAATGAGATCAAATTTCCAAAACAGACTACTGTATTCTAGAACTTCAACATTCATTTTAATGTGTTTCTACAGTCTGCAGTACAATCTGATACTATCCATCGAAATAAATGGTTATATAGTTACTGTTCTATTCTGTTTCGAAAAATACTTTGATCCTTACTGCATGATGTCATAGAAATGAATTGTTTGCAATTTTTTTTAATTTTGTGTACACCAAAATATGAGTCTTTGCTATAAGGATATTAAAGACATAACCCATGTAATCTGTATACTAGTGAATTTTAATAGGGGTTGAAGGATTTTAATTGGAAATGGGACTGCCAGAAGCTTGTCAATAAAAATGTGACAAACAATTTCTGTATCTCACCTTGCCAACACCAGGATTCTGTACCCTGCCAACAGTTCGCAACAAACATGGTGGAATAGGAGGCGGGTTTGTTCTCACGACCTCGTAAAACTTTGTCGGAAATGAAGGTGTGTCTGGTTGTGTTGCTTGGTGACGCCGTTTCTTCTTTCCCAGCTTCTGTGCAGCTCTGTAATGAGTAAAGAATGAAAGCCATTAAGTGGAATAAAGTTAATACCAGAGATTTGGTTCCCGTGTAATTCGAAAACTTCGTCTAAATCATTACCTCACATCAAACTATAGCAGAAATTAATCACCAAAACAGTGTAGTATGATGTAATTATTATACACTTAACAATTTGTTAATATGCACCATATGCCTGCCAAATATTTACGCAGAACCATTAAAACAGTACAAACTTACTATAAGTTAATATCGACAATAAAAATTACAAATTTCATTCCGTGAAGTCTTGACAAATGTACTTCAAACTGTGTTTAATATGGAATTATGGGTTCTCAGGCAAAGTAGGAAAACAATCTTTGAAGGCATTTTAATGAGACATCAGAATTTAGTTCCACTAGCTTAAAATAAAACACTCATTCTAGTTCAGATCATAAAGCTATGAGTTCTCAGAAAGATATCTTTTTATAAAATTTTGCTCCTAGCTGTTTTATACTGTTTCGGTAACTTGAAATGCAAGCGGAGGATAGTCTTTTAGCTGAATCAAGACTAACTATAGTTTTTCAGCAGAATAAAAACTTAAACTTGATAATTTTTCACTTTTATCAAGATTATAATGTGTATCTGTATAACTATGCACAACTTACAAGTCTTGATCTGCAGAACATCATTAATATTAAGATACAATATATAAAAAAAAAGATATGTTTTTAATTTATTAAGAAGAAGTGATATTTTAAGGTTAATCTAAAGGGTGATAATTTTCTAGAAAGCAGGCTATCTCTTTTGTAGCAAAAGATGACCAATACCAAAATATTTACTCCATTTAACCCTTATTCTTTTCAAATTGAGATTTCATACAACTGTCCAAAATAAACCCCCAGTAAACAAATGCAGAAAAAATACTTGTGAAAGCTACTCAAAATATCTACTAATAACCTACATACTTTTCAAATTCAGATTTCATAGAACAGTCTTTATACCCCAGCAAACATATACAAAAGAAATACTTGTGAAAGCCACTCAAAGTATTTACTCATAGCCGACACACTTTTCAATGACCCCCAGCAAACATATACACAAGAAATATTTGTAAAAGCCACTCAAAGTATTTACTCATAGCCGACACACTTTTCAATGACCCCCAGCAAACATATACACAAGAAATATTTGTAAAAGCCACTCAAAGTATTTACTCATAGCCGACATACTTTTCAATGACCCCCCAGCAAACATATACACAAGAAATATTTGTAAAAGCCACTCAAAGTATTTACTCATAGCCGACACACTTTTCAATGACCCCCAGCAAACATATACACAAGAAATATTTGTAAAAGCCACTCAAAGTATTTACTCATAGCCGACACACTTTTCAATGACCCCCAGCAAACATATACACAAGAAATATTTGTTAAAGCCACTCAAAGTATTTACTCATAGCCGACACACTTTTCAATGACCCACAACAAATATATAAAGAAGAAATACTTGTGAAAGCAACTCAACATTCACATAACCTACATTCTTTTCAATGACCCCCAGCAAACACATAAAGAAGAAATACTTGTGAAAGCGACTCACACCAATTACATAAGAGTTGTTTACACCAAACTGTATCCCTCAGACAAATAATTTATCAGCCGAGCGACTTTATATGAAATATTGATGAGAACTTACTATCTAAATGGTCTTGCCATTAAACATTAATGAGATACTTGGTTAGTGTGATGACTATAATGAAGTAACGTAGGGTCGCAGTAGTAAATTTAGGATTACAGCTAAATCCTACTTAAAAAGATCAACAATTGCGTCTTTAATAGCAATAAATTGAAATATATCGTATTTCTGCAAATACATGCAATCAAATTATCGACAACAAAAAAAACCAATAGGTGGCAAATTGTATTCTTCGTACTGACCTATTAAATTGAATTTTTGTTGGCTGGTCAGAATATCTAAAGCAAAACATCTGCTTGCAAGGCCATGTTTTGATTGATAATTCTGCACTGCCAATAAGTTAATAAATTACAAAACATTCTGGTTGGAATTGTTTTACATTTGTCATTTCAGGGCCTTTTATATAGCTTGCTGTGAGGTATGGGTTTTGCTTATTGTTGAAAACCGTACAGTAACCAATAGTTGCCAACTTCTACATCATTTGATCTCTGATGGAGAGTTGTTTAATTGGCAAACATACCATATCTTCTTTATATATATTCTCATCAACATAAATTCAACTCTTTATAATAATTCTAACCCCATTTACAAATTTAACTCTAAATAAATCTCCCCTGTTCATGAATTTATATCGTCCCAATAAACTCTCTGAAACAAAGTTACTAAAGATTATTCTGTTGCAGGAATTTTGTTTAATGCAAATGCCTCAAACACAAAAATACTCTGACATTTTAAGCCTAGCTGCTTGCTTCTAAAAAAAAACTGAATAAAAATCTATCAATCATAACATCTCTGCTTGAGGTTATCTTACGAGTATCAGAAAGAGAATGCTCTCTATTTTCAGAAACGTGGATATACATAACCTTGTGCTGAACCTAAACATAACTTGCAATAGACATAATATTATGTCTTTAAAAAACACAAGCTGTGATCAATACAAAAAACTTTTCTCATTATTCTACAATTTCCACATGTCAAACAAAATTTTCTTCAATATATCTCAGTTCAAATGAACTACTACTCAATTTCCTTGAAGTTAAGCAAAATGCATGTTAAGCAGTACATATATTGATTGACAATATAAAAGCAATTTCACTGATTGATGAAAGGCACCCCTGATTACTAATCAGTCATAGGTCCCTCATCAAAACAATCAATAAAGTTATCAATGGTACATTTAACTCTGGAAAGAATAAAACAACCCTCCCTTACATCCCTCCTTCAAGTCAGTAACACGCTGAAAACTCTGTTTTAATGCTAATCTTTCAAAAATCCTGAAATCTACCATTACTAATCAGTCATATGTCCCTCATCAAAACAATCAATAAAGTTATCAATATAAAGTTATCAATGGTACATTTAACTCTGGAAAGAAAGAAAAAACAACCCTCCCTAAAACATCCCTCCTTCAAGTCAGTAACACCCTGAAAACTCTGTTTTGATGCTGATCTTTCAAAAATCCTACATTAAAACCATCAATAAAAGTTAGCAATGCACACTTACAACTGACTACTCTAGTTAGCGCCATGTGTTACATTTAAACTTAGTTCAGCAAACCATCCCTCACTTAACCCTCAGACAATGCTGAGTCAGTAAAGCCCTGATACCTAATAAGTCATAGGTCCCTTAGTCAATCAAAAAAGACAAAACATGTTAAATGCTAGTACCTAATAGTCCTTAAAAAAAATCTAATGTGTCATTAAAAAAACACAAAATAGAGAAACTATTTCAACCTCCCCACATGTCAATGTGCCTGGTCCAAGTCAGTGTGGAACACTCATAGGCAAAATATAGAAAACCACAGATGTAAACTTAGACATGGACCCAATGTTCCCTTAAAATGAATAGATATGTTAAATCTGAGGAAAAGTGTCTTACGTTTTGCACAACAACAAAAAAACATTGAACCAAACCCTTTCAGGGGTCCATTGCTAGGCAACTGTTTCTGGCCTTATTCAATATACCCTTTTTAGCCAGTGACAGTCTAAACATCCAGAACAACCAGCTTTGTACAGCTTTGCATTATCTACACATTTGATTTATTCTTTTATTTTTGGCATTCTGAATATAAATGAAATATTAGCCACTGGACATTTAGCAATAAATAATCATTCAATGATTTCTGAAAACTATCAAAACAAGTTCCCTAACAACCCTAATGAGTTAAACAATCACTGATACTGCAAGATACATTTTTTAAGGGAACATTACTGAATTAAATTTAGATAAAAGTTTATTTACATACATAGATATAAGAAGATGTGGAATGAGTGCCAATGAGACAACTCTCCATCCAAGTCAAAATTTATAAAAGTAAACCATTATAGGTCACAGTACGGTCTTCAACACGGAGCCTTGGCTCACACCGAACAGTAAGCTATAAAGGGCCCCAAAAAATTACTAGTGTAAAACCATTCAAACGGGAAAACCAACAGTCTAATCTATATAAAAAACGAGAAACGAGAAACACTTATGAACCACATCAACAAACGACAACTACTAAACATCAGATTCCTGACTTAGGACAGGTGCAAACAAATGCAGCGGGTTTAAACGTTTTAATGGTACCAAACCTTCACCCTTTTTCTGAACCAATAGTGTAACATCACAACATAGAAAGACACACTATAAAATATCAACTGAAATAGCTTAACTCAATCAAAGGACATATTAACACCATTGAATATACACTGAACAAATAAATTTGACCTATGACACAATGTAAATACAAAATAAATAAACTAAGGGAAGAATAATAAAAGTAACATGTTATATCGGTAAGAATTGTTAAACAATTAAAGAAAAACAATATGCTCGAACAAAAATACCATCCATTTGCAATAACTTATATAAACAAACTTCAAAATATCAAAATTCAAAGTTCATAATGATCATTGTTAATGAAGTAGCCATTGGAAATCAATGTTAACAACAATAATAAAATTGAATACTTTACAACCAGGCTAGTCTCATAGTTCCACCCTAATTTGATCAAAATAAACATTGATCAATACATATAACAACATTTACAGCTGTTCTTTTGCAATATTTCACTTGAAAAGTTCATTTACTTATCCTATACTGAAATGAATAAATGGCAACCACTTTTGAGGGAAGCGGTCACCTCAAGCCCTAACCTGTTCAATACAGCATGGATATTTGTCAACCATTTTTTTTTATACTCAAAAATGAGTTTCATGTTGATTTTTTTGCAAGAACTTTGAGCTGGACTGATGTTCTCAGGTTTCTTTACAAATGTCAACAATGATGTACTAAAGCGCATAGCATACTTACATACAAAAAAATCCTATTAATTGCTATCAAAC